TGATGGCGCCAGCCAGCAACATTTTTTTCTGCTTCATCGCATATATATTTCATAAACATGCAGACATGCGGATTTATTTATACATTTTTTCATGTGGTAAAATTTTATTGATTACTGTCAAAATCCAACAATATTCAGACATAGCTGTCGGTACGTCAGTCTGTCCCTCTTGACTTACATTTTATTTGCCAAACTTATCATAGTGAATTATTTGTTTTGGATTTTTCATTGACGATTTTTTAGGGTGTTGTTGATGACCACAAAATTCAGAGGGGGTGAATTGCGTTCAGAAAGTAGCCGGGACTTGTCTTTTGGCCACTTGACATTTTATTTGTTAGCTGTCTCATTTCATGGGATTTGTTTTGTCATTTTTGGTGAGCTTCTAATATGTTTTGTTTTTCCTAGAAAATTGAGTAATCAAATATTTTATGTTGAGAACGGAAATGTTTTTTTTTTGTTGGTGTATTTTTTAATTCAATGAAAATTAGTTCAATAAAAACCAGCAAGGAAATTACAAAAGTCGGACGGAGCCGACTATATGATACCCTACACCACTTTGGGTACATGCAAGACATGTTAATATCTACAATATCCTGTAGATAGAGCGGTCATAGAATCTTTGGCGGACCAATGAGATGAAATCGGGCGAAATTATCTAGATAAATATTTGAACCAATTGATAAAAACCAAACACGTAAAATTCTGAAATCAATGAATAATTGCATGTCAAACGGACAGACTTGGATTCTTTCTTGTAGCATTTGTATGAAATCGAGTTAAATTATGTGTGGGAGCTATATATAAAAACATGGGCCTAATTGAGTAACCGTTGCATACACCATTTGTTTTCTGTAATCACTATATTCAATTTAATACCTTCTGTGAAATTTCGTGTAACCACCACGAACGAAAATATATATAAGACCTATATCAAAATCTGAACACGCTTGAACAAACCTTATCACGCATCAATTTTTTTCCCAATAGCATTCGCTATACAAAATTTTACTCAATCAGACAAATATTGGAAGTTTGGTGTATAATTCACAAAAAATCTGACGAAACTATATGTGGGAGCTATATCTAAATCTGAACCGATTTAAGGGAACCCCACCCATTCTCGATTTTAATTTTTCAAGATTTTCAATGGGCTGTTAAATCAATACCAATACTTGTTAAGGTTTGTAACTTTGCACATATATGTATGAAGATTTAAAAGAGAAGAAAAATAATTTACAAAAAAATTTTGTTATTGTTTTGTTGTTGTTTTTTGTAATTAAAGAAAAGTCCTTATTTTTGATGGCGGGCATGATAACTCCTCACTGGAACATCGGAATCCGAAAATTCCAACGGTGTTAGAAAGAGTACATGTCTGGCTCTCGTATGAACTAGGATTATTGACTTCGCTCTAAAATTAACAAAATGGTGGACCTTTAAAAAAATATTTTTGGAAAATTGCCAATTTTTTACCAAAAACCAAGTTAAAAAATAAGGAATATCTTCACCGATTGGATTTATCCTAGTTCATACGAGAGCTATACACTCCCAGAGAAACGTTGCAAAATTTGGAACCGATTGGATTATTAGTTTTTGAGTTATCGTGCCCGCCATTCGCAAAAAAATGTTTAGAGAAAAACGCGTTTAAAGTTTGAGAAGCCCTTCAGCCGTCACTTGATGCTGACACAATAAATCGGCTATATCTTCAAGAGTTCTTGAGATTTTCACTTGAAATTTTGTAGAGACATTCTTTAATCAGTGTAGATTCGAATTATATCAACAAAAATTTTGACCCCGAGAATGGGGGGGGGGGGGGGGTCCTCTTAAAAAAAAAAAAAAACTTCGCAGACATAAATCTGAATATGATTCAGTACTCTGAGCAATATTGTGTCTCAATTGGACAAATATTTAGAGTTTTTTGTATAATTTACCAAAAAATCGGACGAAACTATATATGGGAGCTCTATCTAAATCTGTACAGATTTCAAAAAAAAACTTCACATACATTAGTCTGTACCTAATTCAGTACTCTGTGCAAAATTTTGTCTCAATCGGACGAATATTGGGAGTTTGGTGTATCATTCACCAAAAAATCAGACGAAACTATATATGAGAGCTATATCTAAATCTGAACCGATTTTAAGAAAACTTTGCAGACATCAGTCTGGACCTAATTCAGAACTCTGTGCCAATCGGACAAATATTGGGAGTTTGGTGCATCATTCACATAAAATCGCACGACTATATATATGGGAGCTATATCAAAATCTGAACCGATTTTAACAAAACCTTGCAGACATCAGTCTGGACCTAATTCAGAACTCTGTGCAAATTTTGTGGCAATCGGACAAATATTGGGAGTTTGGTGCATCATTCACATAAAATCGGACGACTATATATATGGGAGCTATATCTAAATCTGATCCGATTCCAACAAAACTCCGCACACATAAGCATGGACCTGATTCAGTGCGCTGTGCATCCCCAATCGTACAAATATTGGGAGTTTGGTGCATCATTTACATAAAATCGGACGAATCTATATATGGGAGGTATATCTGAATCTGAACCGAAAATCTCCAATTTCAATTCAAAAACATGGACTGACGGACAAACGAAGGTCTACAAAAGACGTGGATTTTGAAAAAACATTTTTTAAAGCTCTATAAAAGGCATGGATTTTTTAAACATATTTTTTGAAGCTCTACCAAAGGCGTGGATTTTTAAACATATTCTTTGAAGCTCTACCAAAGGCGTGGATTTTTAAACATATTTTTTGAAGCTACACCTTTGGTAGAGAACCTTTAAAAATATTTTTTAAGAATTTTTAAACATATTTTTTGAAGCTCTGCCAAAGGCGTGGACCTTTAAACATAATTTTTTGAATTTTTTAAGAATTTTTAAAAATATTTTTTAAGAATTTTTGAAAATAATTTTTGTTATTTGAATTTTTGTGATCATTTGAAAGTGATTTTAAGTGATTATTTATACTCTTTCGAGTCGAGCTTGATGATCTAAATTTTGCAATGAAAAGGAAAGCCAGGAGAAGAACCTACGTACCCACCATTATGCGACGCGTTTCGCCGTTGGTTAAGCGGCTCATCAGGCATATTGGGCTATGTGGCTTTACAAAGGTCGTATGTTGATAACTTGTATTTATTCCGCCCTGATGCGAAACTTGCATATGCGAATTAAATTCAAATTTGTCAAAGTTCGACATTTGTCTTCATTCTAGGAACAGTCCTTTTCAAAGCAGATTTTTGTTGTAGCGATGGATAATTAATCCACACACCTACAATTGCTTCCTGGTATACACATGTTTTTGCGCAACCGTTTTGGAAGTGTTGATGGCTCAGAACGTTAAGCGGTCTTGGCAACATCTGTGTTGCTCTGAGGACCTAGGTTCGAGCCCTAGCCGTGCTCGGCTGAAATTAATTTTTGTTATTTGAATTTTTGTGATCATTTGAAAGTGATTTTAAGTGATTATTTATACTCTTTCGAGTCGAGCTTGATGATCTAAATTTTGCAATGAAAAGGAAAGCCAGGAGAAGAACGCGTCGCATAATGGTGGGTACGTAGGTTCTTCTCCTGGCTTTCCTTTTCATTGCAAAATTTAGATCATCAATCTAAATTTTGCAATGATGATGCGAAACTTGCATATGCGAATTAAATTCAAATTTGTCAAAGTTCGACATTTGTCTTCATTCTAGGAACAGTCCTTTTCAAAGCAGATTTTTGTTGTAGCGATGGATAATTAATCCACACACCTACAATTGCTTCCTGGTATACACATGTTTTTGCGCAACCGTTTTGGAAGTGTTGATGGCTCAGAACGTTAAGCGGTCTTGGCAACATCTGTGTTGCTCTGAGGACCTAGGTTCGAGCCCTAGCCGTGCTCGGCTGAAATTAATTTTTGTTATTTTAATTTTTGTGATCATTTGAAAGTGATTTTAAGTGATTATTTATACTCTTTCGAGTCGAGCTTGATGATCTAAATTTTGCAATGAAAAGGAAAGCCAGGAGAAGAACGCGTCGCATAATGGTGGGTACGTAGGTTCTTCTCCTGGCTTTCCTTTTCATTGCAAAATTTAGATCATCAAGCTCGACTCGAAAGAGTATAAATAATCACTTAAAATCACTTTCAAATGATCACAAAAATTCAAATAACAAAAATTAATTTCAGCCGAGCACGGCTAGGGCTCGAACCTAGGTCCTCAGAGCAACACAGATGTTGCCAAGACCGCTTAACGTTCTGAGCCATCAACACTTCCAAAACGGTTGCGCAAAAACATGTGTATACCAGGAAGCAATTGTAGGTGTGTGGATTAATTATCCATCGCTACAACAAAAATCTGCTTTGAAAAGGACTGTTCCTAGAATGAAGACAAATGTCGAACTTTGACAAATTTGAATTTAATTCGCATATGCAAGTTTCGCATCAGGGCGGAATAAATACAAGTTATCAACATACGACCTTTGTAAAGCCACATAGCCCAATATGCCTGATGAGCCGCTTAACCAACGGCGAAACGCGTCGCATAATGGTGGGTACGTAGGTTCTTCTCCTGGCTTTCCTTTTCATTGCAAAATTTAGATCATCAAGCTCGACTCGAAAGAGTATAAATAATCACTTAAAATTTTTTGAAAATATTTTTTTAAAGCTCCAAACAAAATAATAGTTTGTTATTGTGTATTTTTTCGAAATACTTTCAGATTGTATGATACTTTGTAGATTGTATGAATATTTTTTGTCTATTACATTTTTTTTCATATACCTAAATTAATTAAACAAATAGTCCACCAAATTTGCTTTGATTCTTAAACTATGTATTAGTAATGTTTTTATTTTCAAATAGGTAATTTCTATTGGTTAGGTCAGAGAGGAAGGATTGTGTAACTAGAATTTATCCACATATATGTGTCAACATTAATAATTTTTATATTCATAGTCATAAAAATCGTTAGTCAGGTAGTTAGGGTTGTTATTACGAGGAGGGTAGATATTAACGACCTCCAGGACCACCACCTCCATGACCGCCAGCTCCGGCACCGGCACCTGCACCCATACCCATTTGGGCACCAGCTCCAGCACCGCCACCAGCTCCACCACCGCCACCAGCACCGCCTCCTGCTCCAGCACCCATGCCCATTTGGGCTCCACCACCTCCCTGAGCGCCACCACCACCTCCTTGGGCCATGGCCAATTGAGTGAACTATATTTAAATTTAGAAAATTAAAAAAGGATTTTATCCTTCTTCCTTGTTGCACTTACCACCAAAAGGACAGCGGCCACGATTTTCAGCAAAGCTATTAAAAATTTCATTTTGTTGTTGTTTTTATTTTTATTACTTCGTTATGTATTTTTCACAGTTTTTTTCCACCAAATCGCCAGTAACTGAAATCGTTTGAAAACTACAATATTTTCTCCAAAACTTCGAAATATTTATAGCTAACAAAAATCCACGATTTAATTCATGTTGTTATTGTTTTTCCGATTATTTCTTGATTTACAAATGGGATAAATTTTAATTGCATGTCAGCATTGTTGCGAGATATCATAGCTGGCGTTCCTTCACTCACCCACATCCTATTATTTTTTTAAATCCATAGTTTTTCTCGAATTAATAATTTGTTGTAATACAAAAATCTGAAAATTGATTATTGTGGATGTCAACAGTAATTAATTTTTTTCTAATTACATGAATAACTTGTCATTACATGATTAGAGAATGTTGTGATTTAAATTGTTTAAAACAAAACAAAATTCTCAATTATATATTTTTTAATTACTTTAAAACGACAATGGAAATTTACGATTTGCTGGCTATGGAAAATTACAGCTAATAAAAAATTTAGATTTTTTCAATTTTCAATACATAGAGCGGATTTATTCAAGGATTTCAGTATTTATTTAAGGATTAAAACAAAGGCTTGAATTTTTTAAAGAATATTTTTTCAAGGACCAACAAAAGGCGTGGATTTTTTAAAGAATGTTTTTTCAAGGACTTCAATAGGCGTGGATTTTTTAAAGCATGATTTTTCAAGGACTTCAATAGGCGTGGATTTTTTAAAGTATATTTTTCCAAGGACTTCAAGAGGCGTGGATTTTTTAAAGAATGATTTTACAAGGACTTCAATGGGCATGGATTTTTTAAAGAATGTTTTTTTCAATGACTTCAAGAGGCGTGGATTTTTTAAAGAATGTTTTTTCAAGGACTTCAATAGGCGTGGATTTTTTAAAGAATGTTTTTTCAAGGACTTCAATAGGCGTGGATTTTTTAAAGAATGTTTTTTCAAGGACTTCAATAGGCGTGGATTTTTTAAAGAATGATTTTTCAAGGACTTCAATAGGCGTGGATTTTTTAAAGAATGATTTTTCAAGGACTTCAATAGGCGTGGATTTTTTAAAGAATGATTTTTCAAGGACTTCAATAGGCGTGGATTTTTTAAAGAATGATTTTTCAAGGACTTCAATAGGCGTGGATTTTTTAAAGAATGATTTTTCAAGGACTTCAATAGGCGTGGATTTTTTAAAGAATGATTTTTCAAGGACTTCAATAGGCGTGGATTTTTTAAAGAATGATTTTTCAAGGACTTCAATAGGCGTGGATTTTTTAAAGAATGATTTTTCAAGGACTTCAATAGGCGTGGATTTTTTAAAGAATGATTTTTCAAGGACTTCAATAGGCGTGGATTTTTAAAAGAATGATTTTTCAAGGACTTCAGTAGGCGTGGATTTTTTAAAGAATGATTTTTCAAGGACTTCAATAGGCGTGGATCTTTTAAAGAATGATTTTTCAAGGACTTCAATAGGCGTGGATTTTTTAAAGAATGATTTTTCAAGGACTTCAATAGGCGTGGATTTTTTAAAGAATGATTTTTCAAGGACTTAAAGAGGCGTGGATTTTTTAAAGAATATTTTCCAAGGACTTCAAGAGGCGTGGATTTTTTAAAGAATATTTTTCCAAGGACTTCAAGAGGCGTGGATTTTTTAAAGAATATTTTTTCAAGGACTTCAATAGGCGTGGATTTTTAAAGAATGTTTTTTCAAGGACTTCAATAGGCGTGGATTTTTAAAGAATGATTTTTCAAGGACTTAAAGAGGCGTGGATTTTTTAAAGAATATTTTTCCAAGGACTTCAAGAGGCGTGGATTTTTTAAAGAATGTTTTTTCAAGGACTTCAATAGGCGTGGATTTTATAAAGAATGTTTTTTCAAGGACTTCAAGAGGCGTGGATTTTTTAAAGAATGTTTTTTCAAGGACTTCAAGACGCGTGGATTTTTTAAAGAATGTTTTTTCAAGGACTTCAAGAGGCGTGGATTTGTTAAAGAATGTTTTTTCAAGGACTTCAAGAGGCGTGGATTTTTTAAAGAATGCTTTTTCAAAGACTTCAAGAGGCGTGGATTTTTTAAAGAATGCTTTTTCAAGGACTTCAAGAGGCGTGGATTTTTTAAAGAATGCTTTTTCAAAGACTTCAAGAGGCGTGGATTTTTTAAAGAATGCTTTTTCAAGGACTTCAAGAGGCGTGAATTTTTTAAAGAATGCTTTTTCAAGGACTTCAAGAGGCGTGGATTTTTAAAGAATATTTTTCCAAGGACTTCAATAGGCGTGGATTTTTTAAAGAATGATTTTTCAAGGACTTCAATGGGCGTGGATTTTTTAAAGAATGCTTTTTCAAGGACTTCAAGAGGCGTGGATTTTTTAAAGAATGTTTTTTCAAGGACTTCAAGAGGCGTAGATTTTTTAACGAATATTTTTCCAAGGACATCAAGAGGCCTGGATTTTTTAAAGAATGTTTTTCCAAGGACTTCAAGAGGCGTGGATTTTTTAAAGAATGTTTTTTCAAGGACTTCAATATACGTGGATTTTTTAAAGTATGATTTTTCAAGGACTTCAATAGGCGTGTATTTTTTAAAGAATGTTTTTTCAGGGACTTCAATAGGCTTGGATTTTTTAAAGAATGTTTTTTTCAGGGACTTCAATTGGCGTGGATTTTTTAAAGAATAATTTTTCAAGGACTTCAATAGGCGTGGATTTTTATACCCTTCAGCACTCTGTGGTACAGGATATTATGTCTTTGTGCATATGTTTGTAACAGGCAAAAGGAAACGAGATAGAAACATGGTTCCTTTTGAGAATATGTATAGAATCACTTTCTTAGTCGATTTATGCATGTCAGTCCGTCCGTCTGGCTGTGTTAAATTGTAAACAGGTCGCATTTATAATCCGCATTGGAAGAAATTTGGCATAGGTCACTTATTTGGCCCATGGACGAACCCTATTGAAATTGGGAGAAATCGGTTCAGATTTAGATATAGCTCCCATATATATTTTTGTCCGATTTAATGTAAACGGCCCCTATATATTTCGATTTTCACGAAATTGGGCACAGCGTACTAAATTAACTCTAGAATGATGTGTGTCAAGTTTCCTGAAAATCGGTTCAGATTTGGATATAACTGCCATACATATTATCGTCCGATTTAAGGTAAATGGTGTACCAAAGTCCCTATATATCTTTCGATTTGCACGAAATTTGGTACAGAGTAATGAATTATTTCTAGAATGATGTGTGTCAAGTTTCCCGAAAATCGGTTCAGATTTGGATATAGCTCCCATATATATTTTCGTCCGATTTAAGGTAAATGGTGTGCCAAAGTCCCTATATATCTTTCGATTTGCACGAAATTTGGTACAGCGTAATGAATTAGGTCTAGAATGATGTGTGCTAAGTTTCCTGAAAATCGGCTAAGATTTAGATATAGCTTCTATATCTGACCAAATGAAAAATTTAGTATCGGTTGCAGAATGACATGTTTATGGATCCAATTTCATTTTACTGGTCCATTAAAAAATGGGACGTCTGTTAGAATTCATCTATTGAATATACTCAAAGTGGTGAAGGGTATCATATAGTCGGCCCCGTCCGACTTTACTACTTTCCTTACTGTGCCATAAATCTCTATGTTTCCACAACATCCATCTATGGCTTGATTAGCTTGCAACTATTTCCGTATGGCCTCAAAACAGTTTTATCACCTCCACGTGTGCGCATTTTGAATTTTAACGACGTCGTCGTAATTATTTGCCGCTGTAGTATTTCGAACTAAAGGCAAATTTCATTCAATTCACTTTAGCCCACTTTTCATTTCGTCATTTGACATTTAAGCCATTGACAACGACGCTAGTCGTCTCTTGGCGGGCTGTCTGTCTGACTAGTCGGTTGACATTCACAATTAAACGAGCAAATGTTTTTAGATCATTTTTATGTTTGTTTACAGTTTAAGTGTTTTTTTAAGGTCCGATATACACGCGCTGCTGCAAATGCCACCAATAATAATAATGGGGGCACGTGTAGCGAAATTATAGGTATTTTTGTTTTCTTGCTCATCTTCAATTTTTTTTCAAATCTTGATGTTTGTTTTCGTTTTTAATATTTGTTGTTGTTGCTGTTGTTTATGTACCAGAAATTGTTTTGTGCATTATTTTCTAATAAGTCAAAATGCACACGCACGACCACACACTAGAGGACCATAGATATCGCAAGCCCCATTCGCCAACACCAAAATAAACACGAACTGTGGGATTTCGATGTTAGCAAATATTTGAAAATAAAATTGAATTCAATAGGTATCAGGTGATTGATGACTATTGATGCAGAAAACCAAATGGCGTTGATTAAAAAAAATGTTCGGAAGCAACTCAAGAACGGATTTTTTTTAATATTTTCTAATGAGTTTTCCAGAAGCGAGCCTTTGCTCTAAATATTTTTAGGGACCTCTTGCAAGGACCTCATATAATTGACCTCATTAAAATGAGTCCCTCAATAAACGTGCATTTTTTAAAATCTGCTAAGGGTTCTTCAATAAGCGTGGATTTTTAAGAAATCTTTGCTAAGGAGTCTTCCGCAAATGTCGATTTTTTAAAAACATGTTCTAGGGGGCCTTCCATTAAAATTACTGATCCTCTTCTCTTTCTATTGTCTAACTGCCAATTACAATTTCATTTGAAAAGAAAAATAATCTAAAACACACACTTAAATTATTTAAAATCATAGGCTGGCGGAGGGGATGAGTTGTTTTGAGGGGAACGGTAGACTACCACAAACTATCAATGCTCATATTTTTATTTTTTGTTTTGCTCTACTACACCTGATATGGCCCTGACGGCGTACACTGACCGTGAAATTTAATAATACTGGCGAATAAAGAAAACAACAACAAACATTTTCGAACACCACACACACACACCCATATGAAGGGAGATTCTGAAATGTTTGTGACGTTACGGCCACAAGAAATTGTTTTGGGTAAATATTTGAA